CCAAAGTATTTTGCGTAGTATATTTTTTTCCGTAGTTTGAGAAAATTCAAGTGTACTCATTTACTGATATAAGTTACATGGCAAGTCTGCTATCGAATGATCCATATTCTTGAATCCAGTTAAACTTAATCTTAACCAAATTCAATGTAAACGTAAGTTACGTAATGACTTAAAGAGCTAAGCATTTTACGTATAAAATGAAACTATATTGTAGACGTTTCTTCAAGTGACTTTGAATAAAAGAATTGATCAGTTTCCTAACTGAGACAGATACATCTTTCTTACAAGGGCTTCCATGATTCTTATTTGTGACTGTTCAAATCGTCTACTCTGACACTACATGTAGGCTTTAATTGTTTAAAAGAAATGTTCATTTTAGTTTTCTCTGTCGTCAATGAAGCATTCGGCAATTTATCTGATCTATTTAGCTGTTTCGGAGTATCAGAGAACTTAGTGACCGATAATGTCTCACAATTCATTTGGGAGTTATTCAAACATTTTTGTAGTATGAATAGAATAACACATCTACGCTCTCTACCCTATCACTCTCAATCAAACGGACAGGAAGAATGCTTTGTCGACACCGGTACAAGAGCATTATTGAAATAAGAAGACTGTGGAACAACAAGTCATGTAATCAAAAAATTCTTAACTCCTTATAGAACTACCCCAAACCTTACTATCCCAGATGGAAAGTCCCTTATCAAAGTCATGTCCAAAAGAAGTATTCGAACTATTTTCAACATCATGTTGTCATCTAAAACAGTGGATAGGTACTTAGTCAATAATTGCTTGTCCTCCTTCTTTCCATCTTTTAATTTGCGAACATAAGATTTCTTCGTATTCAAATCCCGATAACCGTATAAGTCATAATCAAATAAAGAATATAACAAATAGTAATCAAAGATAGATATCATAACAGTTTCAAATCATCTCAAAGAGTTGTCATTGATTATTAATTAATGTTATTGCTTTCAATGACCAATTCAAAACATAAGTTATGATGGAATCTTATTTACAGGATCTTAAGAAAAAAGAATATTAACAAAAAATACTAAGCATACAAATACTGTTTATCAGTAATATGTCCGCTCTACCTTCATAAACTAATTAACTCTTTATTTTATTCTGTTATTTAACACTTTTTGTTTATGACTTAATTGTAATAAAACAACAACAACAACAACAAAGAAAAAAATCTTCATTGTTATATAACAATTGCTAGAAATTTATTTTTATTTCAACAAAGAGGCACCAAATAGTTATGCGCCACACAAATCTCATTTGATATGTATGAGGGCTGTGATACTGCCCGGGTGCCTAAAACGAAGTAGGTGGTATTCTTAGGGAGGCCACACTCATTGCCTTTGACCTAAAGGTTTGATCCACAAGGTAGTGGAGCATCGTAAAGAGATGCAGTCCCATGGTAGCCGGTGATCAACGATTGGTTGATAAGCCATTTGTTCCTTCAGGATACTGGAGTCCATGTTCATCATTGGTTTGGAATCACAGTTTTCCAACTCGCCCAAGGTGGACTCTTCGTGTCCACCAACCCGGTTAAAGTCAGTGTCGGATATTCGATTTTTGTCCTCTTAAGTTCGTAAACAACACCCCCGCCACGAGAAGGCAGTGAGTAGGACTTCGCTGGCAGACGATTTATACGCGTGGCGATGAGAGAGCAGTTCGAGAGGGAGAGATGACTCTCCCCACTCTCGACCGTACCAGGGCATTTGGGAGCTTTCTTATACGAGTTTCATAATATAACTTATCGATTTGTAAATGTTTAGATTAAAAAGGTAGTTCTTCTTATAATTAAATCATTATTAATCTAATGAGGTTGGAATAAATATGGATCAACCCTATAAGTTAATTTAATAGTTGAATTCATAAGTCAATTAGAGTTAGATTATCATTGAAAACTTGAAGTTCTGAAAGAGCAGCATATCTACAGTTGTAGAACATATGGAATTCAAAATAACTTTCTGTCAACAAACACCAAGGTCAGGATTGTCAATACAAATGTCAAGACAGTTCTACTGTATAAGGCAGAAACCTGGAGAACTACGAAAGTCATCATCCAGAAGACACAAGTGTTTATTAATAGTTGTCTACGCAAAATACTTCAGATCCGTTGACCAGACACTATTAATAACAACGTACTTTGGGAGAGAACAAACCAGATCCCAGTGGAGGAAGAAATCAGGAAGGAGTGCTGGAAGTGGATAGGACACACATTGAGAAATGCACCCAAGTGCGTCACAGGACAAGCCCTCACATGGAATCTTCAAGGCCAAAGGAGAAGAGGGAGACCAAGGGAAAAATCACGCTGAGAAATGGAGAATGACATGAGGAAAATGAACAAAACTTGGACAAAACTGGAAAAGAAGGCCCAAGAAAGAATATGTTGGAAAATGCTGATTGATGGCCTATGTTCCATTAGGAGTAACAGGCGTAAGTAAGTACCATTAAAAATATGGATTTCCTGAAGTTCCAGTGAGAAGACATGACCAGTGAAGTACAATCCTCGCCGGGTAGAGACAGGTATTTGCCTCAGTCAATAGATGAATGATTGCGCAATATCGCGAATTAGTTGAAGTTAGACATTAACATCGTTAAATGACGGCTGAATGGTTTGAAGGCTTAGCGTTTACGCTCAAAACCGAAGATTCTAGGTTAGTCACGCCAGTGAAATCGTGGATAGACACGGCTGGGGGGGGGTCCCACAATTAAACGAAACGATTGTCTAATGCTTCCAGTTTTTCACTGGTGGTCTAGATTTAATTGACTCACGAATTCAACTATTAAAATTGCTACAATCTCCACAAGCCCACATTGTAAAATTATTTAGGATTTGAATGAATGTTCTTACTACTGCTACTACTACGTATACTACTATTGCTGTTATTAATACAATACTACTAATTACAGCAATGAGAATAATGGTATTATTAAGAATAATAATAATGAAATCGACAACAACAACATTATTATTACTATACCTGAAATCTGTTTAACTATTAAGTACAAAAAAGAGTATAATATATGTTTATACTTTCTACTGATTGGTTAATGATTCATTTGAGTTACATAAACACACCCACCCACATTTAAATTCTATGCCTATATATATATTCACATAACCATGGAAACTATTGAATTTCATCATCATTAATATGCATGTTTCCTCTTCATTTTTAACATCAAATTGTCCTCTTTTTTTGTTTGTTTCACTCTTTTCATTACATGATTGAAATGTTATCACATACGAAGGGGCGGGAGGAGTAGCGGAATATTTCATTGAAAATGATTTCATCAAATAAAGTGCGGAAATATTATTATTATTTTTGATTTAACAAATTAAAGGAATTATTATTATCATTATAAATAATTGATTGTGGGTAGCAACAAAAAAATACAAAAAAAACATCGTAGTGATTTGATTCTATTGAAGTGTTATAACAATTCATGATCAACTTTTCATTATTTCAAATGAATGATGGGTTCAGGTAAGTTCATTATGTTTCACATGATCTATTAATGATCATTGAATAAGATTATAATTTATGGAGAATTTTTTTTTAAAAATTCTAAAGTGATCTTGAGAGTATTCACCTAGTAACTAGGATCAAATAAGAGTTATAAGATAGTGAAAGGAATTAGAATTATGATCTGAGATCTATGATCTTATATCTGATTGATTTTGTTCATAAATTATAGTCTTGTCGTTGATATTGAGATAATACTGGCTTCCTGAAAGTAAAGAAGTTTTTAATGTTGTGAGTTAGTTACTTACTGAAGATAATGATGGACAGTCGGGCGATATCATAGATTTATTGAAAATAAATACTAACAACGTTGGATACTGGTTTAGTAGCCTATCTGTTATGCTTTCGCGTGTGAGATTGAAGATCCTGTGTTCGAATCCCGAGTACGGATGCATACTACTGAGTATTCCCATCCTAGGCAGAAACAGCCATTCAATATTTTCAGGCTTTCAGTGATGTTCTAACATTGATCCATTCATGATATCAATTTAAACCATGAATATATGATTGTAAATCTTCATTTAGAGTGCTATCTTTGTGTTAGATCCCGATAAACATAATGAATAGTAACTTTAGGATCCTTTTATGGACCAATACTAAACGTATCCCGATGTCAATATTGAATAGTAACTGTGGTGACCTATTTATGGACCAATACGATACATATATTTTTATTGTATAATTATTAGGTAGCTAAGCTATGCATATTCATGTTCCTCTTATTATAAGCTCTATTTTGACCTATGAACTATTATTATATGATTTACCATTCTTGAGTTATGTCCTGTCTATTAGTCACTACATCGCACATTCACAGCCACATTTGGCCAACTTTTGTACAAATGTTATTTTCTATTTTACGCTACGTTGTAGTCTGTTTTTATTGGTATGTAAACTCGGTATGTTTGAAATATAAGGATTCATAATGCAGAGGCCGAGGCTGGTGTTCTGAACTTAACTGACTGGGTGAGGTGGAAAGCAGGACCAATCAAGTCTCTAGGCTGCTGGCACGTGTTTTACGCATCCTTGGTCCGATCAATAATTCGCTACTTCTGACTGGAGGCTTTGGGCTATAACACTATGCGAGTGTGGAATTTTTGTCATATCAAATAATTATTGTCTTTCAGTATTAGAGAACCATTCGAACAATTAAATTAAACTAATTTAACAGAAGTCAACCATTGTCGAATAGCATTTTGACCTGAAAAGAACATATAATATGATTTGGTTGTGTGGTTTATTAAAATTTGGGTGGGGGGGTCTGGGTTCCTGCGCCAATAAAGTAATAAGTAGTTATACTACTGATGATTCCGATAATAAGATAAAATGGCTTCTCTATTCTCTTGATTCTGAACACGGTTGAACTATCAGTCTAGCTATACCATATTTAGTCTTTGGTGTTCATCACCTCAGTAACATACTTAGTTTAACCATTAGTATAGAATTTAAGATGAAGTTAGTTTGTGTATATGTGTATGTATGCCAACCAATTGTGTCGTAGTTAACTGTATGTATTTGTACCTAATTGAATAATTTTATAACAAAGATCATTTTAGAACCTTAGAATTTCACTGTTTAGATATGATCAAGCATAATTAATTGACCTTGGAAACTAAATCTAATAGTCACAATAAATGTATTCAGAACAATACCAAATGATCTAAGTGGGTTTATAATGTATTATTTTATAAAATCAATATTTATGGATTATCCCCCATTTATGAACCAGTTTATGTATTCTAACCTTGAATAATGTCACCAAGTTATTATGTATTGCATAACCCAGTATATCTTTAACCAGATGAGTTACATTTAGAAAACATATTAAGACAGATAAGTACTTAGCAACTACCAGACATTTATTCTTTATGATACTAATCAATGTTGATTGAAATAGATTTATTTTATTAGTGATGGAAGGTTGTGTTATTGTATCCCAACAAGAGTATTGAATAGTAACTGTGGTGACCTATTTATAGATTAATAATATATATATATATTCATTTATTGTATAATTATTAAGTAGCTAAGTTATACATATTCATATTTCTCTTATTATAAGCTTTATTTTGACCCATTGATGATTGTTATACGATTTACGGTTCTTGAGTTATGCCCGGTCTATTAATTACAGTCTCACACATTCACAGTTACATTTGGTTAAATCTTGTACAAATGTTATTTTCTATTGTATGGTGTGATGTGGTCTGTTTAGTTTTTATATAGACTCATCATGTTTGAAATATATGATTTATGTCGCGGTAGCTAAACTTAACAGGCAGGCGAGGCTAGGTAGAAAGAAGAACCATTAAAAACTCTAAATTGCTCGTACGAGTTTTATACGTCATTGATCCGGTCGATAAATCATAGTTCTCTAATTGGCGGTATCATTACGTTATAGATTAATAAGATCACAAGGCCACAAGATTGAAATAAAAATTGTTATAATTTAGTCAAGCATATGGTCTACTTTTTTTTCTTCTTCTTCTTCTCACCGCTTAAACTCTCGTAGTTTTCACAAATCTATGTATCCATTAAATGAGAATGTTCAGTAGATTGTGCTTAATCTGGTTTCTATGTTATCTAGTATCTATTAGTAAGCTGTATCTACACTGTTTAAGGTAAATAATGTTTCATAAAATCACATCTGATCAACTCTGCTTTTTATGTGGTCGTTTCGTCCTATTGTGAGACTCCTCATCAATGTACATCCACGATCACGCCTCGCGAGATTTCAACCCAGGACCTATCGGTCTCGAGCACGAGCACTTAACCCCTAGATCATTGAGACGGTATCCAGCGGCGCTACTTCAAAAGGTGTCTTTATGGATATTAATGTGATTTTAATAATTGAGATCATGAATTAATTGAGGCTGGATCACCATGGAAATCCTGGAAGCACTGGACGGCCAATTCATCCTATTGTGGGACTTTTCAGCGGTGCGCATCGACGATCCCACCTTACGAGATTCGAACCTAGGACCTATCAGTCTTTACTATATACTGTAGTATTGTCAATAAGTGTTTCACCTTATATGGTTAAAACATTTCAAGGATAAAATTAATAAATGAAAAGTATGAAATCATTAAGATGGAATTAGTTTTAGTTCAGATTTAAATGATCCCATCATATTATAAGCTATAGTTATTGAATCTGGATATTCTCTGACAAACATTACAATCACTAGTGTTTGCAAAAACATTTTAATTGTAGGAAGTAATTTTAATTACAACATTTAGTACTTTCCAGTGGACATCTAAGAGAGAATGTTTCGTAATTCAATGCCTTTAATTTGTCAATAAATTAAGATATAGTAGTAGTCTTTATACTCAAATAAAAAGATTGCTCAGTTTCACTACAGTAAAACGTATTACACAGTATTGGTTACTAAAGCTTATTTACTGTGTAAACACTTTATTATTGAGATGGTGAAGATTTGTAGCTCAGGTGGATGATTTTGATGGAGTTTTGTTCTGTGAGCTGGATGGTTTGGTCGTGGAGCTTTCAAACTTCAGGTTGGAAGTCAACAAGAATCAATCAACGTGGAGGTGTACAGGATAAGCTGTGAATCACATGTGGAAAAATTTGAACACTTTAATTCTATCTGAAGTTTGTGGTGATGATGTCGTTCAGAAGAACGATGAAAGCTCCCCGACCAAACCATCCAGCTCAGGGGACAAAACTCCATCAAAAACACTTTATTATTATTATTTGTGGCTTTATTCAATAGTATAGTTTGGGTAGAATATAAAATACTTAGCACTAAGTATTTAAACAAGTGTCTGTTTTATATATTTTGATCGATCCAGGCGATAACATAGTTAAATGATCGCCAGTTAGGTTTTAACATTTCAATAATCGAGATCTGAATCATATGTATTCTTTTCAATACATATTGCCAGCTACCACTATGTAAAATGTACAGCGAAAGGTTGTACACTTTTCAGAAGTGCAGTTGAAAAGGTTATGCGACTCTTAAGCATATTATCCTGTTTAAATAAGCAAGAAAACAGATAACGTATTGAAATATCCAGATGATAGAAGCAGATAACCCAGATATTTAAGTAGGCTAATAAATATGTGAAATCATGAATCAATCCACCTGTACGGTGGATTGGTTGAAGTTAGACATTAATACCGTTGGATGTCGACCGGTTCGGTGTTCTAGTGATTAAGTGCTCGCGCGCGAGACTGATAGGTCCTGGGTGCGAATCTCGTGAGGTCGGATCGTGGATGCGCACTGTTGTGAAGTTCTACAATAGGATGAAAAGGCCATCCAGTGCTTCTAAGTTTTCTATTGTAGTCTAGCTACAACTGACTCATGATCTCAACTAATGATTTGACTAAAATCTCCACAAAACACTTTTTAATAATAAATATACCATTAGTTAAATTGTATCTTGTAGCATCAGAGATATCTTTCTTTCTTCACATTGATTTGTAATGTATAACAAATGTGTCTTAGGTAACTAAAATATTCATCCTCTGTACATTTGAATCTGGTAACTATGACTAACTAACAATATAAATAACTGAATAGTTCCAATTAATCATTAGTCCATTTCATTTTGTGTCAATCATTTATTGTTTATTCATTCATTGATCATATTACAATATCAACAATAAATTAATAAATATGAAACAATAATCTTTTTTTTTAAAGAACAAATTTCATTAAGATCATGAATGGATCCATGTTAGATCATCATTGAAAGAAAAACAAACAAACTGAAAACATTCAACAATTAATTCATATGGAACTCTTAACATGGATCAATTCATGATCTTAATCAATATCAATTTAACACTCTTTATAATCTAATACTGACAAATTTAACTATAGAGTGAGTGAGATAGAGAGAAAGAGGGAGTAGTAGTATACATTTTGAAATGGGTTTTAATGACTATTGTTTGTATCATGATGTGAAAGAAGCTACAATTCACTTAATCAAATTAAAGTCTTCTTCGTTCATGTGCACTGCTGAGGAGTATCACAATAGGACGAAACTGCCGTTCAGTGCTTCTAGGTTTTCCATGTTGATCCAGACACAATTGACTCATGATCTCAATCATTAAAAACCACTATTATATCCAAAAAACTCCTTCTGATACTAATCAACCTATGCTCACTAGTGTTTGGCTTCAAGAGGTATTTCTTGGAGTTTTAGTGAGAAGTAGTGACCAGTGGAGTTCAACCGGGTCAGTTGTGAGATAGTAACTCACGATTGTCAAATCGTGGATGTGTTGCTCAATTTCGTGGATTAGTTGAAGATAGACATAAACACTAGTGGATGCCGGCCGGCTCAGTGATCTAGAGGTTAAGCGTTCTCGCGCGAGATTGACAGGTAGGTCTTGGATTGGTATCCTGGTATCTGTCGTTATCAGTAGCACACACACACACACTACAGGACATTGACTTGATCTTTTAAAAAAATGATAATATTGACCTTAAATGTAGATTAAATAGGAAAAAACGAAAAAAGGACAAAACAAAAGAAAAAAACAGAAAACAATTTTTTATTGATGATGAAAATGATCAATAAAATTGATAAAAGTTTGGAAAAAAGAAAACAAAACAAAAAGAAAAAAATATCCCGGATTGATTTAATCAATGAATCCATCTAAAGTTTAGTCATTAATTGAATGGAATACAAATTCGATGTAAATAATAATCGATAGGGGATAATAATAGAATCCGATTTGATGCATGTTTCATTCTATATAGGAATTATCAACTAAATGTACCTACATCTCAAAGTTAATATTCGCTTTAGGACTCGAACTCAGTACTGTACGGTCGAGATACTATCATGTTAACCACATAGATATTGAGTCGTGGTTTCCATCATCTTTGCGTATGATGCTTGTGAATTAAGGCAATATCGAGGCAATCCGTACAGTATGTACATATGTCAATAAGAGACTGATCAATTTCAAGTCTTAAACATCAATGGAAAGATTCAAATAAACAACACGAAGTGAATCTTACAAGTCAGGTGGTTACAAAAAAAGTAGAAATACGAAGTTACTAAACTATTTAATTGATATAAAGTCAGTAACTCAAATTATTTTTCAACCGTATACGAAATGAAAGAATGTGAAGTTTTTATGTAGTTTCTTTGTACTAAATAACAATAGTTGAGTTATTTACTTACTTACGTCCGTGACCACTCATGGAAGAGCATAGGTTGCTCACCAGCATTCTCCATCCAACTCTATCATGAACAATCCTTCCCACTTGTTTCAATTTGCTATTTATCCTTTTCATATCTGTTTCTAATGCCCGACGTAGTATTTTCTTCGGCTTCTCTCTTTAAACTTTTCCTTCAGGAGTCCAGGTTTAGTCTCACTTCGTGATGCAGTTTGATGATTACTTCAATGTATTTCCTATCCACTTCTATCATCTCTTTCTAATTTCCTCCTCATCTTGAAGCTGGTCTATTTTCTCCCACAACAGGATTTTGTTGATGATATCTAGTCAACAGACATCTATTTACAGATAACTGTGTCTTTTTGATCATGGTTGTAGTAGTTCTCCACGTTTCAGGTCCGTACCGTAGAACTGTCTTGAAATTCTTATTGAAGATTGCGACTTTGATATTGGTTGACAGTCGTTTTGAGTTCCATAAGTTGTACAACTGTAGGAATGCTGTTTTTGCTTTG